CCGGTTTCGCCCGGTAATTAATTTTTTTTGTCAAAAAATATTATATAGCCCTCAGGACTAAAAATAAAACGCGCGAATGGGTAGGTTACGCAATTCCAACTTTCTTATTTATTGAGATATTTGCTTAAAATATTAACCATAGATCCTTTAGTAAAGAAAAACATAGCTATAGCCTATTGAGAAGTACTGATAAATGCATGGACAATGCCCTACAGTCACTCGCCTTAGGGCGAACATCTTTTTACTTGTTTATTCATCTTTGGAAAATAATAATCAGTATAGGAAATTAAAAATATCATGAAATAAATGGATCGCATTATTACTGTTTGATAAATGACAAAATAAAGGGCAGTGTTCATCTGAATATCGCAAACTGCATTTTCAGACACAAAGACCTTACCTAGTTTATTTTGTAAAACCACGCGATAAGCAAAAAACACCCTTATTGTAAATGTAATTTCCCAAAAAGCGGGATTCGCATAGACGGAAACGCCAGAAGTGCATTAATGCAGTAAACAGAAACGTACATTTTTATAGCCTAAATAAACGTTGTAATTGTATTTCGTTAACAATGTACGTATATATAAAACAGGGTAGTTACCTTGAACAAATATGAAACGTAATTTATTTTAAAATTGCAAATTTTAAATGAAGTTTTTGTACTTCATCTAATTGAATAAAGCTCGTATATTGAATTTTCGACGACCCCGTTGTGATGTTATATCTCAATAAGTTATTTATACAACATTCCATCTGTATAGGCGGGGGATGAAATCTGGATGCGCGTGTGTATAGTCTGTGCGTCACAATGTACGTTTTTATGATTTTGGGGTTGCTTTATGTCCTTCATTTACGCTAACATGTGGTACTAGGATTTTTATTTTTTTGTTATTGACGTTTGGCTTGCTTAATAAATTACAAATAAAGCGCGTTTATTTCGTATAAATGGCAGTTTGGCCGTAATTAATTTTATTTTAAAGCGCAGAACTGTATCCAACGTTGGATAAAGTGTTTTGGTATTGGGATTCACTCTCAATTATTATGACATGAAGTTAAGTGGGCGAGAGTCGGGGGTGAAATCCATTCAACTGTCAGAAACACTCACGTGAAAGGAAACATTAAGGGATGCGAGAATGAAGCTTGTTAGAATTGCAAGTCAACAATACACACACCTCCTATCTAACGGCGATTGGGCGATATTGAACTTAGTTGATGTATATTTACTTAGTTTATGGTTACTTTTCGACTTACATACAAAAAAAGCGTTTGGCTGCGAAAACAATTCAATTTACAACAAATAATTTTTGAAGTTTTGGGCGACATTTTTACTTTATCCCCATATACAAAGCGACGCGTTTAATATTAATGTAAGAATAACGTCTAGAAAGCCATAAATTTATAACAACCCCCAGTTGTATATCTATACGAGAGAAATTCATTTGTAGCCGTTGTAAATTTATACCAAAAAGTTGGTGTACTAGAGAACTACAACAATAAATCATATACTTGAACAGTGGAAAAATATATATCATCAAATGTTAGTAGTGGGGTGTTTCCGAAAAAAAAATACAATAAAAAGCGCCCAGTTTCTATAACTTTTATGAGGTGGTCTCTTAAAAGAACTTTCTCAAAGGGATTTTAGAATTTGAAAAAGCGAAATATTGAAATTGAGTGGAATACGTTAACTTTCGGAAATTTTTTTATGATGTCAAATGAATTCAAGTTGTTTATCAAGTACAAATCCTAAAAGTTTTCTGTGCTCTCATTTCATTATAAGAACGATTCAAAGAAAAAAAATTAAAATTGCTTATTCAATAACATTCCTTTTAGTAACATCTATATCTCTTTATAAAGATAACCAAGGGGATAACTCGAGGAAGTCTCAATAGTTAGTGAATAAAACGGTGCAGTTCACAGTACTTTTGTTTCCAATCGATTATTACGGGATTGAACCACCGTTTCCATTTTCAGGAGGCACTAGTATATGTAAAAGCCAGGGTAAAAGCATAATGACTTCTGATGTTGTACGGAATGGCCTATCTGCGAAATATTCCATAGGTTCAATTGCAGCTCTGAAATTATTGGGTGGAGTTCTAGAGGATTAGTAGATTTTAGACAAAAAACTAAAATAATTCTCGGGATCCGGAAATTTCCTCAACAAAGAATTCACAACCATTTCCAGTTCCAGTTTGACGGTATATCTGTCATATTATGCAAAAAAATTGAAAACTAATAGGGTTGATTGACGTAAACAAATTTTTTCTACAAAAAACCTTAATACATTTTTGCTCTAAAATAATTTGGGGAGCCAATAATCGCATGTTATGAATTTTACAATGAAATCCCTATGATGCGCTACGGAAGTCACCACCCTGTATATTGATATCATTAAAATATAAAAAAATTGGATGATAGAGGGGATCAAACAAGTTCTTTTTTCAAATAAACTCGAGGGTCTTTAATTTTTTTCCCAGCATCAACCATAAGAGTTACAAAGATAAGGTTTTCGGGTATGGGTATTTTTTTTTCAAAATTCCTACCACGAAAGGGCGCACCTCTACTTCAGGGTGCGAAAAAAATTCTGATTTCGACGAAATTTGGTAACTGGAGGTCTTTGAACATGAAAATAACGAATTTGGAATTAGTTTTTGAAAATTCGAAAAAGAAGTTCCATTACAATTCTTTGCCGGACAACGAAAATGGAGAAAATTCCATGAAATTTGTTGTGTACATACTTGATGAGTTAAGGACACAATTGTCGAACAGTTTTTTAAAATCACTTTTCAAACAAAAGTTATACTCATTTGAAGATTGGGCCTTCGGGTTACTAGTGAGTGATCAAATTTAGAAATATCGCAAATAACAAAAAAATAACGATTTAATTTTACTTTTCCAAAGTGTAATAGGATATAGGGAAGTGCTCTGAAGCGAATTTTTCTTGGAGATACTGCCGACAAAATTTCTCTGGAAGCAAATACCTTCTTGAAGCAAAGGCGAGTTTTCTCGAATCCAAGTCTTCCGCGCGATGAAGGCGAATCTTCCATGAATCAATTTTCCGGGGGCGGATCTTCCTGCTCAAAAAAAGCCTCGGAGACGTCATTGGTTGCGAATTTTGTTAATACATCGTTGAAAATGTACCTACCTCAAACCAGATGAGAGGACAGGTCATTCTGTGATATTTTCGGTATTGTTGAACATAATTTTAAAAGAAATATCATGTTGGGTGCAATACCACAGCATATAAACTTTTGAGGTGGCAGGAGTACCGGAATTCTGGATATTTTTTGAAGTTGAAGATATTCCCACTGGGAACTTTTAAAATTGACTCTATAATTATTACAATAGTGTCGTATTTTTGTAATCCTAATGTCATTTTAAATCCACGATTTGATATAACAAATAATGTTGAAATATTAATTGAAGTTACTACATATTGGCATGTCGGAGTGACACAAAAGGCACAAACACACGAAAAACACGCTATAGAAACCCGAGCTCGTAAAAATAATGATAAATTGCAACAAAGGATATTCAGCAACGTTTGGTTGGATTCGTATTATTCAAAAATATGAACCGCGCAAATAATCGTGGGATTTTAACACATAGGTTCAGTAAGAGCCAAACAAAGGAGCTCGTGTATTTATAGCTCGCTTATGATAGCTGCTGCAGTACACTTTTCAAAATTAAAATTGGCGCATTCGCGCCCTAATGCATCTTCCCTTAAACCCGTGAATTATTCCATTTAATAACGTTTACTTGTAATTACATTCTGTAATGGCGTTGACATGAGGATGATATTAAATCTATTACGGCTACGTGAACTGAGTTTACATCAGGCAAAAAAAAGAAGTGGTATAATAAAAGGTCGGTGAGTAATTTAAGCGGAACCGCACACAACAACTACTTGGCGACCGGCGCTAAGTAATAAATAATAACGGCGCGTTTTCTGAGTGCGAGTATAAAGGCGCGAATGCCTAGAAACGATTTTGATAACGCCAAGGGATCGTACTAGAAAATCTACGCGACAGGAATGTCACTTGAAGTGCTCTTTTATGGTCTTATCTGGCTGCGGCAACATACTTTTATTTTGACAGTTTTATTTTCGAGAAAATCCACCTACTTTACAGGGAAATTCCTCCAATAAATAGGCGTGAGGGTCAAGTTAAACAACAAACAACCGATGCAGAAACTCTCACGCGGTTCTGAGCGAATTATTTAACTTTCGAGTTTTTGGTGTAAATTTATTTATTTTTTCAGAAATAAGCAAGTTCCCTAATGACTTCGTGTATATAGAGAGAAACAGGAATCGCAATTTTTAATTTGAAAGTCTCCTTGTTAGCACGAATTTTGATACAAAGTGCTTTTTGGGCAATTGCTTGTCAATATTTGTCCCGTTTTGTTCGCTTATTTGGAATTTTCACAACTCAATTGATTCCAGAAATACTTAATTTTGTATCAATATTTGCGCAACAAATTAAAGTGTGGTGGTGCATACGCCAGCACACATCACACCCCAAACAAACCGCGTGCGTTTTCCCCTTAGACCATACAGTACATGGACACGGACATAGCGAGGACGTGAATTTCAGGGTAAAGTAAAGTCGTGAACTCCATTGCGATCGCGTAAAAAGCAGCTTCCAAAGCTACCTAAATTCCACAGCCGTTCACGAATACCTCAGCCATACATTCCACTTACCCCATCGCTTTAGAAGAAGCTACATTCAAATTTCTATGTTGTAAAAAATGCTGTGTGCAATGGCATGCGGTCCCACCCAACTGACACCTACGTGGGACGGTGGTTCTTTTTTTCTTTTAAAAAATTTCTCAGGGCACGCCTGGGTTCCTACACAAGAACAAACATCCTAAAACTCTTATAAACTCGAAAGAACCGAAGGAATCAAATTCCGTAAATTTCAACGAAATCGGTACTCAAATGTGGAATAAAGTCACTCCTTTCAACATTTCAAAAGGAGTGCATAAACGAAAAATAAATATTGGCAATTCTAATTACGTATTTAATATCACAGCATGTCTCTTACGTGGTAATACAATAAATAAATAAATAAATAAAACCCTCCAACCTATTTATACCTCCTTGATGGAGATTCTTGTAGACCTCGATTTCTTGAGAGCTTCAAGAATATCACTTTTGTCCTCGCTTGTGGGAACTTCAAATGTAATACTTCCGTCTGTGTTCCTATGGGCGGACAACACCTTCGTGTCCAAATTTAGTAACTCGTTTAAAACGAAAGTCACAGTGTCTGATGGATAGCCTTCTTTTGTTATTCTCCCTGTTAAAATTAGGCTTCTCCCATTTTGACTATTTACATAATTGCTCAAGTGTTGAATCTTCGACTCCAATTTTTCTATTAGCGCTTTCTGTTGTATTGTGGTTTGAGTCAAATCGTGAATGCTCCGCATGCAAGCTTCGTGATCCTTTTCGACCGGTATCGGAGGTGCAGATGGGAGCAGGTTTACAACTACACGAAACGGTTACAATTTGACAAGTGACAAGTAACGACTTACCTTCTTTAACAAGAAAGCGTTCTCCTTGGAACCAGTACCTCAAACATTTCTTCACGACAAGCAGCCGATAGGAAATAAGATCACCCGACTGCAATCTACTGTTAAAGTCTCGAATAATCCATTTACCATTTTCCACCTTTGTAACGTTAGATAAAAGATCTATGTCGTTGAAATTTCTCAGTTCGCGGTTAATGTTGCCTTGAAATGTCACCGAACTTATTCCATGCGTGTGAGGTATACTGACACTGAATCCCTTCGGGGAGTACACGGTTATTTCGGGTTTAGGTATCAAATACGACTGGCACGATTTTTGAAAAATGATTGCAAAGAGTAGCACAGCTAGTTTAATCGACATGTTGACGAATACTGACATCTTCCCTGCTTACGTCTGTTTTAAATACAACGTCGGGACTTTATGAAAGGGATTTTCCTTGTACTTAGCGACCGAAGCTTGTAAAATCAATTACGAGAAACAGTTGGGGATAACACTGACGCCGGAGATTCCGGTTCAGTTGACCTATGTAGATATTTCTGCAATGCAAGATTATCAAGGGTCACGAGTTGGCCTCAAGATTTTTAGTTATTGATATACTATAAAATATGGTAACTTCCATAAACTTACTTTATCCCAGTTTCACACGTGATATTAAAAATCCAAATAAATAAAGTATAAAAAGGCGTTGCTCAGACTATGCAATCATGTGTGTTTTTCAGGAGGAGCGTCAGCCGTATTCGATATGGTTCCTTAAACCTTTTCCCCATAACCCAAGTTACCCATTTGTGGGCCTTTTGAGTTTGTTTAATTTTCATCAGAGGAAACGACGCATTGTAGTAGTATGGAAAGGACTAGAAGTTGGAATTATTTTTGGAAATGAATAGGTGGATATTTAAATATTTCGCATTTCCTTGATCAGCTGTTTTCAATGATCAAGTGATCGGAAAATCGCCTTGAACAACATTAGCGGATTGATATCGTATATTGCAATAAATATTATCAAATGACGTCGAGGTTACATTTGTTATCATCGTCGGCGCTTGGTTACGTTATGATATAGTTGTCGAGCAATTTACACTTTTTTGTAGGTGCTCATGGATACTCGTCCACTAACATAAAATGTCTTTGTGTATGTTAAGGGTGATCTATATAAGGATATTATAATGTATCAAGGTCCTTCTTTGATTTACTGAATTTATTCCACGTTGTTGTCCGATTAGATACCTTGGATGAACTTGGATACTGCTTTTTTACGTTAAGACCGTATCATTTGGATTAATAGCATTCGACAATGCTGATGGAGGTATTCCATTAGTAATTGAGTCAAGTGGAACAGCATTCCCACCAACCCCCAGGGTATTTTTGGGCAGAATTTCCTCAATTAATTGGATTTTATCAAACAGTACAGACATTAATTTGTTTTTGTCCTGGATAATGGACTCTTTAATGCCATTGATTAATATCCAATCTTCTTTTTCTCTTTTGTGCAGTTAATGCTTTTTGGGAATTTTTGCAAATTTATTTGCTTTCAATCGCACTTTGGCCGGCAATCTTCGGAAATCCTCAATATCTCAATCCAATATCTCCCCCAGTATCTAAGTTGATGCCTCATCTTCAGTTTCCTAAAATTACCGGACATACAAATGAAAGTTTCAGGACGATTTTTGGTAAAAGCTTAAACATAAAAATGAGGGTTTCATGACGATGTTGGTATTGGATTTTCATACACCGGTTATAGTAATTTCACCTAAAATTATAAAACATGTCAACCTAAATTTCACAGCACTTTTACTTCAATAATGACGGTGGAAAAGTTTAAAGTTTGCAATTCCAAATGTGGTTTAATTATTATCGAAAGTAAATAAACCATATTGTGGTTTTACGAACCGCAATTAATACTGATCGAGTAAAAAGTTTAGTTTTTTTGGCAAATAGTGACTTGCAAGGCCGGAAATTTTCATTGCGTTATAATCGTAAATAAAAACTCTTCGTGTTATAATGTTTGGGCAAATATTGATAGTAATTTTGGCTTGAAGAATAAAAGCACTCGTAAAAGGGGAATAATCTATAAAATAGCAGCGTATATACCCTATCCAAATACGAAACTTATAAAACTTGCATTTTCTGCTTATTTTCAGCCGTAAAACACGAAATGGTGATGAAATTACAAAAATGATTTGAAAAATACAAGGGGATTTGCTAGATACAAGAATAGATTTATGTTCGAGCTGTAAACTCGTGCAAGTTTACGAGACGAGGTACCCGAATTTTTGCGACTGATTTTAATGAATTATCTAACGTTCAGTAAAATATTGTTGGGTAGATAAGTTTAGCTCGGTACATATAAAATAAAAACTTCCAGAATCGTGGCACTTACCAAGAAATAAAGTAAAACCATAAAAAAGTTGCGCTTCGCAGTTAAATTTATGTTAATGGGCTTTTCTGATCTATAAAAGAGTACATTTGAGTCTCACTTGACTGAAAGGGAGAAACGTTGATATATAGCGAGCATTTTTAATTCAATTAGCCTGAAACGCCATCGGGGGACTCTTAAACAATCTCTTAAATAGTGTTTATATACCTAAAAGTATCACAATTTTTGAATATTCTATAAAACGTAGAGCTGCCATGGAAAATATCCACAAAGCAGAAAAATGTAAACGAGGGTCGAGTCCTCATAAATATAAAATACAACTCGACTGTTCTTACTTTTATTATGTGGGAAACGAACGCTTGCCATATTCATCATTCCATTATGAAAATTTAGAAAAATATCAACCTATTTGTTTGCTTCTTATATTGTATTTTTTATCTCCATATATTCGAGTCGAATCTGTCAATGTTTTGTGTTTTCCGCTTTGATCCATTACGCCCGTCTTCGTTTCCTTCCAAATATCAGAATGTTTATCGAATAGTCTACCATGAATTTCGTTATTGGAAACTGGTATGTAGATCAAACATTGCAGAACCGCAATGGGAAATTCCTCCTAAATAATGGACAGTTTTAATGAACAGGACTGAATAAATGACTTCTGCATGACTACCACTGCTCAAATACATCAATTTTACTCATGCTATTGACAAAGTTTGGTAATTGTTTCATTCGTAATGTTCGTAAAGTTTACAGTTTAAATTAAAAACGTTCGGTTGCGTTTCAGCGGAAAAAAGTATAATTGAGTGGAAAATAAAAATTTCCTACCTCCATTTTCGAGTGCTTTTGCAACTAGGTACTGAGACCTGGAAAAACTACACCACTACAAGGTGATTCGTCATTCTGGTTTAAAAGTGCTTCGACTTGCTTGAATACAGAGTGGCCTAACGAGAAGTATACAGAGGGCTTTTAGGGTATTAAATTTAGAAATTTCGAAAAATTCTCGAACACGTCAATTTTGAATTCGAGGGGGACAACTTTTGGAATACCCAAGCTTTCACCCCTTTAAATTGAATCCTATGACAAATGGCACATTATTTGAAAGCCAATTTAATCGTGATTACTAATCTGCTTTGCTTTTTAAATTCTATTGAACTTTATTGCTCCACCACTAGGCATACCTTCAGGTGCAGTAAGTACGGGAGTGATAACTTCAGTGGTGAATTGCATTTTCGGTGCTGCAGTAGGATTGCTTCTATAATGTGTGACTCAGTGGAGTGGAAGCGGGATTGCGGTACTAAGGGTCCGAATCCGGGTTCGTGTACGGATATGTGAAATGTATAATGGCTGAAACTCCGACCACTTGAAAATAAAGTCCAAAAATAAATAAATAAAATTAAAACTAAATTTTAAAAAGTTATGAAATAAACAATTCCAGTGACATTGATGCGGTATTTTTGGCGGAAAGATTTTTACTTCTTAAGAAATCCTTGATCTGCTCAAACCATATATGAGTATCGACTTAAAGTTAGGCCAGTTAACTCAAAGTAAAACTAACTTGGGGAAAGTTGGGTGTATTATAAATTAACGAATAGCATTTATATAATCCTTTTAAAATAGCGGTCATGCATAAAATGGTATAAGCAACAATGGGCTCTATCGGTTTCAAACCAAATTGTCTTTGATTGGTAAACTTCCCGAATCAACTGCCTCTTTTGAACACTCCCTAATCCAACCTAACAAGTAAACCGAAAACCCTCACCGACAAAAACCAACGACTATAATCATTCAATCAATCAATTTGCGTTTATCTGCATTATGATGCTGACGTCCGCGAGTTTGAAACGATAGTAAAAGTGATGGCAGATAAAGTGATTGATTTTCATTGAAAAGTTGATCGGCGAACCGTCACCCCGTAAACATTCCGCATCGCCACCGTGAAGGGCAACCTGGTATTAATAATCCTTAAAATCCTTGTTTGGATACGGATGGAAATAGGCAAATGACAAAGAATGATGGATTCAGTTTATCCTCAATAACGTCGAGGAATAATCCGAGAACTAGATTTATTGACAGTTCTTAGGGAGAAACCCAGGAAACCTCAATCGATAAACTTTCGGAATCGCTTTAGCGTAATATTATCGCGCATATTAATAAAGCGGGATGGGCGCTCGTCTTTTCCAATGGTTGTGTATCCATACGCGCTTGCTACATTTCGGAACGTTTAAATGTGGGAATATGAATATGTGATAACAGTGTATGAATTTAAATTTGCGAGCGCTACGCTGACGTGTAGGTTTTATACGCTGTAAAAATGCATATCTACGTGTACTCATGGCTATTGAAAATTTTTGGAATATAAATGTGCTGCAACATCGATGCAATAGCAAAAGCACAGAAATGGTAGATTTAAAGTACTTTAAATTCACAGTGCACGGCTTTGCATAACAGATTTTATATGGGGATGTCAGTGCAGATTAAATCTTTCAATACATTATAATTGTAAGAAATGAGGGGGATGAAAAATGGAAGCAACAGGTACTTATAGAAGCCATTATTTTATTACTATCGTCGATAACACAGATCAATTCATGAAGAAATAAATCGCACGCGCAAGATTCAATAACGAAAATTATAAACTTTCACCAGGGTGGAGAACAATGGAAGCAAGGAACTGCTATCTTATGGTAAAACCTAAGGAATTAAGGCACCACCTCTTTCACAGGAATAAAAAATCGCCCATGTCTTTTGATTGCTTCGAGGAAGTATTAGGTGGATACAGTACAAGCTGCTACTTATAGAATTGATTTCTGTTTCAAACCGTGAAACGGGGCCATACCAAGAGCTACTCGCTTAGAGCATTCATTTGAACGTTTATGATTGTGAAGCCTTTCTTATACAAAAAGGTAAACATTTGGACTCAAACTCTTAAAGACTGATTTTTACCAATGAAGGGCTACGCCATCTAAACACAGTCTTGGATGCTGATCGAAGCTTTGGGACTACATAAACGTTCCTTCAACTCACATTAATGTTAAGAGGTGACTGGAGGTGTCCAAGAGGAGAAATTCCATAAGAAACATGTTCC